TGTGCTAAAATTGGATGGTAACAATCTAACAAAACTACCTGCTGAGATCGGTGACCTGAAGGAGCTGAGGGAGCTGAATGTGTGGAAGAACCAGTTGGCTGGTTTACCTATCAGTATACAGAGGCTGACCAAGCTTGACGAGCTGAACTTGGATATAAATACACTAACTGAACTACCTGCTGAGATCGGTGACCTCAGGGAGCTGAGGGTGCTGTTCTTGAGACACAACCAGTTGGTTGGTTTACCTGCCAGTATACAGAGGCTGACCAAGCTTGAGAGGCTGCACTTGGATGGAAATAAACTAACTGAACTACCTGCTGAGATCGGTGACCTCAGGGAGCTGAGGGTGCTGAATGTGAGGAAGAACCAATTGGTTGGTTTACCTACCAGTATACAGAGGCTGACCAAGCTTGACGAGCTGAACTTGGATAAAAATAAACTAAGTGAACTACCTGCTGAGATTGGTGACCTCAGGGAGCTGAGGGTGCTGTTCTTGAGAGACAACCAGTTGGTTGGTTTACCTACCAGTATAAACAGGCTGACCAAGCTTGAGAGGCTGTACTTGGGCAAAAATAAACTAACTGAACTACCTGCTGAGATCGGTGACCTCAGGGAGCTGAGGGTGTTGAATGTGAGGAACAACCAATTGTTTGGTTTACCTACCAGTGTACAGAGGCTGACCGAGCTTGAAAGGCTGTACTTGTTTGAAAATAAGCTAACTGAACTACCTGCTGAGATTGGTGACCTTAGGGAGCTGAGGACGCTGAGCGTGAGAGACAACCATTTGATTGATTTACCTACCAGTATACACAGGTTGACCAAGCTTGAAGAGCTGGAGTTGACTCGAAATAAACTAACTGAACTACCTGGTGAGATTCGTTACCTCAGGGAGCTGAGGTTTTTAAGTGTGATTCATAATCCTTTAACTGTTGACGGAATAAGATTTGCCCTGAAGTTGAGGAAGAAAGGAGTCTTTTTAGTTGGCGGTGTTGCAGGTGAGCATAGCGGATATGTTAGTTATTTGGAAGTTCGAAAAAACCGAGATAAATTCTAGTATTTGCCTGAGGAAGGGAAGCCAGTTTTGTTTTCAGTTATGGGCGGTTTCGCGAATTTGAGTGTTTGAGAAATCAGGATATGCTCCAAATGTAGTTTTAATATTAATGATAAGTTTCTTGTACGCATTAATTCATTTTAATCAATTCCTCTGTTTTAAAATATCTAATCAGCTGTGAAAAATAGCTATTATAAATTTATAATTATGGGAATAAGCACTGAAACATAAAAAAGTAAAAGATAAATGACAAGATTCCGGGTAGTATCTAAGCTTTATGAACACCAAACGTTGTATTCCATCGTGTCCGACGTTTGGTCGACTTGTCGAGGGTCGTGGATACTTGGGCGGCTTTCACAGCTGATTTTAAATAATATCCAAAGCCCCGACTAAGGGACTAGCTGGTCACGTAACGCATGTTTCAAGGATTTTAATCAGGTTGCTTGAAAAATGCAGGTAGAATTTGTATTTTTTTATTTCGCAAGAATTTTTATTTTCGGTCACGAAATTTGCGCAAAATATATTATACCAACCTGTATGAATTTTTTCGGGGCATTTCCACTTCCTCCCCCAACCACGAATCACGGACTTTCGATTCCAAAAAAAAAGCTAGGAAGTCTTATGAAAAAACCTTGCATTACATGCGCACCAATAATGCGAAAATGAAGGGTAAATTTACGTCAACCGTGGTTGACCTTTTTCAGGAGGTGTCGTGACGCTTGCGTTACGCAGAAAGCACGAAAAATATTCTTTCTCTTTTTTCACGAATCACGACAAAGAAAAAGCCAAACAGTTTATGATGATGCTAGGAGACCACGAGGCAGCGCATTTCGTAAGACAGGGTGTTGCAGTGATGTAGTTTTTCACGAAAAACAATGCAAATTTTGTTAAAATAACAGCAACCTGGAAATGATTGGCCCATACTATCTCTGCGATCTTGGACGTCACGTCCGCTGCTCGCGCACTTGGTTGTTGGGGTAGAGAAATATTATTAATTTTATCTTCTTTATGTATTTTAAACTGCGCTGAAACGTTTCGGGATTTTCAAGGGATTTATTTTTGGTGTTTAGAGCATGCTTATTGTTCTAGCTAATAACAAGTCCCACTAAAGCACAATAAACACTAGTAATATCGTGATTAGGGGTGGACTATTAGAATTTGGGTGAGGGAGTGAAATTCCCTTCCCCCCCCCCCCCTAAAAAAAACAAAAGACAAAACAACAATCGTTCAAGGTAAAATGTTTCGGAAAAAAGCGTTGCGTGACGAGCTTGTCGGGGCTGTGGATAAACGAGACTTTCCGAAGTACGTTTATTATTTTCAGAGTGTATTTTCTCTAAATACCTCCACGAAAGGTTGGACTCTTTTCTTTTGGAAGTAAGTCAACGCTGATAACAACTAAGGTCTTGCTTGTCTGGCTCTCCTCACTCTCTAAAAAAACGCGAAAGAAAAATCTAAAAATATAGAAAAAATAAAAAATGGACCCTCGACATATTACCCTCGACCCTCGACCCTCGACCCTCGACACCTCGACCAAAAGTCGGACTCGGAAATAAGTAGAACCAAAAACTACCCAGAGAGGGTAGGGTGGGAAAACTAGTAAATGCTGCTACTTATGACTGTTGCGAGGCGAGCTATCTTGCAAGGGTGTCTACAAGATGCTGGGCCCTGAATTTAAACAGGCGTGCTTGTACTTTTACTGGAATTGAGTACAAAAGCTAATCGTAAAAACACTGGATACTTCGTGAGTAAAACAACTTCACAAGCCAAACGAAATAGTTCTCAGTCTATGTAAAACTTGTGCGAAGGTGAAGGCTGTCTTAGTCCCAGAACCGCCATGTTTGATATTTAGAACAGCATCACAAATACTGATGCCAACCAACAAAGTTCCTACAGCCCGAAAGATAATGCCAAAGTGTGGTTTTGAATGCCTGATCCCTGGCAAAACCAGTTTTAGTTCCGGCTCTTTACGCTGAGTTTGGTAACAGTAACATTGATACCATACTTCAGCCCCATTAATAGCTCGGGGCGATTATTACTTTTTTCGCACCAAAAGTAGGCGAGTATTCGAGGAAGGCAAATATTTCAAATATTGCTCAGTGGAAGTCATGCCCTAAATATTTTGTTTTATTATTCCATTGAACCAAAAATTGATAACATGAAATAAATTGAACATGGGCTTTTTAAGTGTTCCAAATGTTGGTTCCTCGATTACTTTTGAACGTCAATATCCTCGGCGTTCGACCTTGAATTGTCACTAATCATTTTTGCTGGATTAGGCTCCACTTCAACGAAAGAAAGAAAAGATGGCGAGAGCGGTGGGGGATAATTCGAGGAAGGCGATTATTTTAAATATTTCCGTTTAACAGGGCGATAATTTGAGGGAGGCGATTAATAAAGGGACAGCTATTATTCGAGGAAATACGGTATGTGTTTGTTTCGGAGTCATGGTTAAGTAAGATAATCCTGACACATTGGATTTGCCCAGATGGTTATGTTATAGTCACGAAAGATCGACATGGCTCGCAAACCGGTGGTGGTGGTGCTATGATTTGTTGCCGTTAAATTGTTGCATATCACTGATAGCTTGGAATTTGAATCTGTATGGTGCAAAATAACAACACCAAAATCAGAATATCATGTGGCGAATAGTTATCTCCCCCTTGATCCTGTTTTTGACCGTGTTGATCCCCTTGAAGATATGTCAGATCCTTGCTGACGATCCGAACGTTGAGATCATAATTGCTGGTCACATTATGTTAAAGAGGCGGAACTGAAAGTCCGTGATTCGTGATTTTGTCCTTTTAATTTACAGTGCTTGGTAATACCCAAAGTAAACTTTTTCAAAAAAAAAAAATCGTGCTAGGCCGCTTAATAAATATTTTACAAGCAACCTGATCGGAACATGCGTTGCATGACGAGCTAGTCGGGGCTGTAGATAAAGATAAAGGTCTCTTGTCTGTCCAAAGCGCGGTTTTTTTTAATTTTTATTTGTAGATTGCTAATGTGTATGAAAAATAAAAATGACTTGAAAAAATGTCGTCCCTCGATTAAATACCCTCGACCCTTCACATAAGACCCTCGACCCTCGACACCTCGACCAAACTTTAGACTGCTCATTTCCTTTACCTCTGACAGTCTTTCTGTTTTATAAACTAAGTATACCTTTGTTTGTTCCATTTGAATGTAACTAGTTTTATTACCTGTTTCATTTTAATATTGTACCCATATTAAGTGATTACCTATTTACATTTGGCAATTAAGGCTGATATAGTCCCAATCTTTTCTGTGTCTTGGTTGCTATTTAGGATTTTAACAATCGAGAGAGTTCGCTGCCATTCACTTCGGTTGCTGGAATTAGGGTCAACTTTGTCACGATAGGATGGAACCATAGTCAGTTATTGAATAGCGACACTTATTGGCATCGTTACCCCTGGAATGAGGGTGGTTATTCAATAGGGGTGCTTATTAGAATGGGAGTGCTTATTAACAGAAACGCATTTTAGGTGGGAGCGCTTATTGAAATGAATTTAGTTCGTTGATTTTCAGAATAATTGTTTTTTTTCTGAAGGACGGGCATTTTACTTGAATCCAACAGCACCTATAATTCTGATGACGCAAAACATAACACTAATTTTTACACATCACATACATGGACACTTGAAGTAGGTTCACTAAAAAACCAAGTTTAAGATAGCAGCTGGTTTGTTTAGTATCAAAAATAACCTGTCACATTTGAAATTCAGTAAAATTATGTTTACCATAGAATTGTTTTAATAACTTAAAAGGCCATACTGAAGGATCACAAGAAGGACAATTTACACTGGTGTATGACCAAGTCTCTAATGAGAATTACCCCCCTCCCCCACCCCTCCAAATGAGGTCCTAGGTCAGTCAAGTGAACTAGAAGCGAATGATTTACTTTACCTCTAAGACATTACTTACCTTAAAGATGCGTTCATTTTTTTCACTAGTCCCTTTAGAAATAGACGCACGCGGAGAAAAAGCACAGCTCGCTTATCAAAGTGCTCTTAAAGATGGAGCTGTCAATGTTTACCGTGGTCGAGTATTGCTTATTGGGCAAGATCGGGCAGGAAAAACGAGTTTGAAGAAGTCTCTTATTGGTCTACCATTTAATAGAAAAGAAAAAAGTACTGATGGAATTGAAGTGGATCCTTCAAAATTTCAGTTGGACGTTGATGAAGTCAAGAATTGGCGACCTATTGATGAGAGAAAACAAGGGTTCCTAGGATGTTCGAAAGATGTGGCGCAGGTGATGGTGGAAAAGATGTTTGATATTCCAGTTAGCCGTGACTCGGTTCAGGAGGAGGAAAGAGGTGAAGCAATAGTTCAAAACGATGATAACAAGAAAAGAAAACAGGTTGGTGCTGATGGAGAAAAGGAAGAAGTTTCTCTTGTGAACCAGGTTTGTCTTTTGTCTTTGAAATGTGATATTTTTTCGTGAATTCTTCGGTACTGCGAGAATTCGAACGTCCTAACAGTAATTATTATGAATTGATTATTGCTTTCATAAGTTAGGTTTTAGTGAGAAACTCACCACGGCTTCCCGGCCCTTTACTTCGATGTCCGTATAGAAAATATGTAATAATTGCCAAATCGTGGTAATCGTAGCTCAATGTTTGAGCTTATAGAGAATTTTTTGTCATCAAAAACAACTTTAAATGCCTGAATAATAATCGAATCGGGGGATGAAGAGGAATAATCCGGTGTTTATTGTTCCAGCTGGAAAATTTACGTTATTCCATTATTCCAGTAAAAAAGAACTCGTTATTCCGTCGAAAAAACCTACTTATTCAATTATTCCGCCCCACAAAATGGCGTTATTTCCTTTTTTCTTACTCCATTTTTTCTCTTCACCCCCAAAATCGAGCCAGGTACGGTAAGTCTTCTAGAATCAGAATCAACAATTATTTTGTTTGTTGTTTTTTCGTACTCTGCTACAGGTTGGTGATCCAAACGAAGACAGTGTTAGTGAACTCACATTAACAGGACCTGATCATGAGTTAGTGGTTGATACTACTTCACCTCCAGAGGAGATCAAGGAACGAGCAGTTCAGTTGATAAAGGAAATACATGATGAAGATTTTAAGCCTGAAGAATCTGTTGTCAGTATTGAACTGTGGGATTTTGCTGGACAGCACCTGTTTTATGCATCCCATCCCGTATTCCTATCATCACGTGCGCTGTACATCTTGGTGTGCAACCTCAGCAAGTCACTGCATGACACAGCCAAGCCCTGTGTGAGGCAAGGATCTCGTAATGTTGATTTGAAAAACCCAAATGGAGAAACAAATCTTGAGAACTTGTTGTCCTGGTTGTCCACAGTGCATAGCATCGCACAAATGAGAAGAGAAACCTGTGATGATGTAGAAAAAGAGGTGCCTCATTTGCGCCCCCCAGTGATCATTGTAGGAACCCATGCAGACAAACCATTTGAAGACATTGAAACAATGAAAACAGAAATCCAGAACGCAATTGCTGGTAAGGACTATGAAGGACATGTGGTGCGGCCTATCTTCAGCATTGACAACACTGCAAAATTAACTCAAAGAAAGATCAAGACAATGGTTTTCGGAAAAGATGAAAACATTGATGAGATCCAAGCTTTACAAATCAAAATCATGGAAGTGCTAAGACAGGAGCCTTACATTGGGGAGAGGATACCTATAAGGTAAAAAATGGTTGTACAAAAACAGAACCATTAGAGTAAATATTAGATAATTTTGTTCTGAAGGTTTGAGCTGTGAGCGCACTGAAATTACTGTTTATGTGTATGGCATTTGTTTTCGCCAGTCCTTGTAAGATTTTTCTTTGATGTGCAATGTGTTTCCGGTGTCCTAAGTAACTCAGTGACTGCGACGCTATATAAAAGCGTGGCCGCAAAACATCTCAAGGCTGGTTCATTGTAGTCCTTTACTTTGGTTAAAAAAATACAGCGAGAACAGAAAAAATTCAGTGATTCCTGTATGAGCCACCTGGCCGTCATAAGAAATAAATCTCTCGTTGTTTGAAACAAGCTCACCATGAAAAGCAGTTTTGACTGGCCTTAAGGAATATTCTGCCCTAAAGGGTTTTATTAGCGCCGGTCAAAATCGACCAAAATCTTAATTTCGTGGCAAGAGTTAAAAAATCAGTTTCTTTCATTTTTTGTTCATAGATAGCTTTTAGGTAGATAAGAAACCTATAGTAGATTGTTCCTGCCGAAAGCTTTTTATTTGTGAGAAAAATTAGAAGATCGGTTTTCGATGTCGGAGTCTCAGACTGCCCTAATTTTTAACCTGAAATTCGCTAACATTAACTTTCCTCGCGTTTGCAAACGAAGCCGCATGGACAAATTTGGACTCTTTCCATGAACAGAAAAATTCTTTTTCTTCCACTAAAAGATACTTTTAGGGTATTTTATATGTGGCATAACTCCAAATTCTCTTAATGCTATTTAAATAACACATTTAGACATTCATTTAAAACATACCTGGGAATTGGCTTGGGTTATTGAATGTAATCTCCGTAAGACACCACCGAAGTTCAGGAATTTTCATGGTAGGCCGGCGGTAATTGTCGAAACGCACAAAAGTAGATATTTACAGCCTAAATCTTCGTTTTTTTTGTACTTCTTGTAGGTTTTCCCATTGCAAAATTTCTTTTTCCAATCAAAGAGTGGGGTAAAAAGGTGAAACTGGGTCAATTTTAGCCATTTTGAAACACTGAACCCTACCAGACGGCGACTCTGCGTGACAATCTGTTCCGTGACTGCACGTGACATAACGTACGTTTGAAGAGACGGAGCCGTTAAAATGACAGTCACGGAATCACGGTAGTAACGCAACGCAATTCTTGAAAGAGTAACATTTTCGATCCCGACAGTATTTTGAAGAAGAAAAAGTCAAACGCGCTTTTTCTGGTACTCACTTTTTATCGAAAAATATGGACTTTAACAATGGTAATTCGCTAAGGATGACGGAACAGGAAGATATTTCGTCTTCTTACTTTGCGATCGAGGAAACTTGGAGCCGTTAAATAAGTAATTTTGGTCACGCTTCACTATTTTTACCGGACTTTGATGCTTTCGTTTGGAGGCTGCCTAAAGGAACCCAAGCCAGTTCTCAGGTTTAGATGAATGTCTAATTGTGTGAATAAACGAGGACCAGGAAAATTTGGAGCTATACCACATGAAGAAAAATTCCGCAGAAAACAACTACTAAATTAAAGTTTTTGTCACGGTAAAAATTAAACCTGTTCTTCGTTTCTGAATTATGTTAGTTCAACGAGTCTTGATATTGCTTTGAAAGTATCTTCTAGTGAAAGAACAAGAGTTGTTGTATTGATGGAAAGTGTCCAAATTTCTCCTTGCGGTTTTATTTGCGAACGCTAGGAGAGTTGATGTTAGCAAATTTCGGGTTGAAAATACGGCCATTTTGAGACTCCGACCACGAAAACTGATATCCTTACTTTTCTCGAGAATAAAAGGCTTTTTGCGAGAACAACTTACATCAGATTATTTATCTACCTAAAAGCTATCTATGGACAAAAAATGAAGGCAATCGATTTTTCAACGCTTGCCATTCGATGGTCGATATTTCCCGACCGTCGCTCTTATAATCTTACTTCGAATTGACCAAAAAGCACCGTGTACATTTCAATTGTCGTTTTAAAAAGGTAAAGTAAAGTGGATCACACACACATATTTATCAAGTGGATACAGTTATCCACCTTTGGAACAACTGGGCCCTGTACTTTAGTCAGCACAGGTATACTGTGTATATGTGACATGGATACTTAAACACGCGCTATCAATTTTCTGTTTGGTTTTGTAAACTAGGTGGCTGAACTTTGAGAAAGTCATCAACGCTTTGCTTTCCAAGCCAGTTTATTACCTGAGTATAACAGAGCTACGGACCCATGCCAAGGAGAAGTGCTTCATCCATGATGAGGAAGAGTTTACTACTATGGTGAATTTCTATCATGACCTGAGAATAATTATCCAGCACCGTGGCACAGTCATCTTGAGTGCCAAGTGGCTGATAAACTTGTTCGGGCAGCTGATCACTATTCCAGATTTTACGAAAATGGTAAGAAATACAATTTAAAGTATTTTTAAACTTGCTATGTTTTATAACGGCCCCCATTTTGGATGACATCACGGGTGTCAAACCGTGCCGTAACAAATAAAAATGATTATGTCACATGCATTGCACGCTATCTTTCGTGTGTGTCATCAGCACAATTTACCTTTAAAGGGGTGCACTGGAAGTACATTGCGTGACTTGTAGAATTATCCTCAAATGTGGTCTTAAAGGAACGTCTCACAACAAAAAAGAGTGGAAAGGTACTTATACGTCTGCTGAAACCAGCGACTCTTTGCGTTGACCAATCAGAACGCGCTTTTATAGTTTGTGGAAGTGAAATTTGGACCGTAAGAATTTTCCGGCGAGTAAACCAAATGGAGGATTCTGGCATTTACGTGGCGCTTTAAAGAACATTCTATAGATTTAAAATCTGAGGTCTGTTAAAAAGATGATCCTGGAAGAAAGCTATTTTGAATAGTTTTGTGATCATTCAATCAATCAAATCAATCAATCAATCTTTATTCCTCCTAAGATAAAAAGACATATCTTAAGTTACATCAGCAGTTGGGATTCTAAAAATACATAAGACATACTGTATACAAATAATAGAAAGATAAAAATACATAAGACATACTGTATACAAATAACAGAAAGATCAAAATTATATCTAAAAATAAGCCTATTTACAAAAACATTCTTAAATCTATCAGTCTTTATATCCGGGCGATGAGCACTTTTGTTTCTGCGTTTATACTTTGTTTCTTTCTTCTTCGGAATGATGTTACTAAGCTGGCAGTCGGGATCCACTGAACGTACCCCGAAAAGCTTCTTATCTGCCTTTTCTAAAAAGTTCTCGAATTTCCGTTCTCTTAGCTGTGTATTTCCTTTTAAAGCATCTATCCAGAAAGTTTTGTACGACCGTGAGATCTGAGTCTACAGCGCCATAAATAGGCAGACCATAAGTGAAATTGGTAAAACTAAGGCGCTAAATAGGTGGTCTACTTGACCTTGACTGAAACCTTCATCGAGTAAAGATCTTAATACAGACACTTACAGTATTTGCCTTAATCAACTTAGCACGTACGTGTTCGCTATATTTACAATTCTCCTGAAACGTCTCACCTAAAATGGGCAGCTCCGTGCATTGCGGAATGTTATTAACTTGCGCAATATCCTGAATAAAACCTTTCTTGCGAAAAATAATTTCTTTACATTCCTCTTGCTATTCCGTCTTAGGTCCCTAAGTTTGCAAAGCACTGGAAGGAAGTCGAAGAAAGCGGTGTTCTCAGCATGGAACTGCTTGATCATGTGTTTTCCAAATTTCTTCTTGAGGGCGTTGCCAGGAAAGACATTCTGGATTTGATGGAACAATTTGGTTTGATTGCAAAATTTTCATCTTCAAAGACAGGTGAAAAGTATTTTGTTCCATCTCAACTCAAAGCGTCACCTGATTTCCTTTGTTCCATGGCGCCCTCAAGGCTGGACCCTTGTCCCCTCTATATTTATTTTGTCAGTGGTTCTGTTCCCCATGGTCTGTTCACTCGGCTTGTTTCTAGATCTGTCCGTTGGTGTTCTGAAGCTGGTCCAACTCAGCTCCCTACCCTGTACCAAAATGGAGCGTGGTTTGTTATTGAGAACAAAACTGTTCATGATTTTGTTCTCATTTGTAAGAAGCAGTTTATTAAGTTCTTTATCAAGCAAAGAAACCACCCTCAGCAGATCTCTGTGGATGAGACAAGTGAGGTGGCAGTGCAGGTTCGTGAGTTTGTGGAGGCAACATTGCAAGCTTTGTCACGTGATCTCTATAAGGGTGGATTGCAGTATCATATTCGGGTCGCCTGTCCGTATTGTCAGCGGGAAAAGTGTCCAAGCCATAATCAGATTGCATGTTCTCATGAAGATTGTCTTCACCTCCTTGAGGTAAGACAAGGCGTTCATCTGATTTGCAAAAAGAAACCTACAGATGAAGTACTCACAGTCCCAGGAAAGCAAAAATGGTTCTCACAGACACCAAGTAAGGTAGGTAGCACTGAAATCCCATCTCTATCAGTGCTGTTACAGTTAGCATGTTACATATAAATGGAATGTTAACGTAAAATTCCGAAAATACGCCCCTCCATGTATAAGCCCCTCCAAATATAATCCCCCAATTTCGTAGATAAACACCCCCATTAAATCGCCGCACCCGAATATAAGCCCCCCGGGGCTTGTACTTTGAAATTGCCCTCAAAACAAAATAAAACAAATTAAAAACGGTACAGTAACACATAATGTTTGTAATTTGCCAAAGAACTATTCCTTGTGCCAAATGATTGCAATCAAGAAGTGTCAGAGTGTAATGCTGTTTGCGTAGTTCACTCTTCACTCTTGGCTTGAATTTCTTCGATCCATATAGCCAAAGTACTCGCATGGCAGAGTTTTAGAAAGAGCTAGGTCCCCATGGCGAGTTTCAGTCAAACCTTCGTCCAAATTACTGACATAATTTTTTTTCCAACTCTAATCTAGCCCTGTCGATTTTGAGACGCAAATGTCCCTCCCATTTCCCTCCGTATATAAGCTCCTCAAAAAGGGCCTTTGAAAAAATATAAGCCTGGGGGCGTATTTTCGGACTTTTACGGCATATTACTACTAAATTGATATTATGCTACTGAAAGGCTAGTCATTTATTTATACTTAAAAAGCTTCAGCAAAGTTTGTGTGTGTTATTATTAGATTACAATGATGTATAACGTAGGCCTTCATTTAACCTACCACAAGTTTCTCGCTGGGTAAAAAGAAGCAAGCAATAGTTCTTAAAATCAAGTAATTTGATAAGGTCAGTTGGTTACCATATATGACTCAAAATTCTATTCAAATTCTTTTAGCACTTTGCCAGACAAATGGCTACCCTTGAACTGAGAATCTCTTTACAGTGGCCAATTAACATCATCAACTCTGTTGTTAAATACCTACTGCAGCTGTAGCAGTGGGTATTCATAACCGCTTCTCAAGTCTTTCTTAACAAGCTGTTTGCTTTACAGTCAAACGATAAGTTTATAGCTTCTAACTGGATGATAACATGTTTTGCAAACTTTCTTTCAAAGCGGTAAACACCCCAGGTGTACACTTTCTATTTTAAAATATGCAATTTTTGTTTCTGTACAGGACGTGAGTACTCCATCATCACCACCACCATCATCATCATCATCATCTGATGCTGAACAAGGTCATTCAGAACGTTTAATATTGAAAGTTACCCTCCTGGCGAACGAATGGGGGTCGTCTAGGGGTGGTTTGTCAACAATAAACAGAACTCTTGCCATACATTTGGCAAAAGACGAAAACGTAGAAGTGACCATTCTTGTACCTGAATTTGAGTGTGGAGAAAAAGACAAGAGAGAGGCCAAAAGTTACAACATCTCCATTATAGAAGCAGGGCATCTTCCTGGCTTCAGTGATCCTCTTGATTGGTTGATCGTTCCACCAGAGGACCTTGACATTCAGGTTGTGATCGGCCATGGAGCAAAGCTTGGTAAACAAGCGCAAATTATCAGAAAATCTCATCAATGCAATTGGGTGCAGGTTGTTCACACTGAGCCTGAAGAGCTGGCGATGCATAAGAACTATCCAAGTGCCATTGCCAAGGGAGAAGAGAAGAACACAGCTGAAGTTGAACTTTGTCAAAATGCAGACCTCGTTGTAGCCGTTGGACCTAAGTTAAAAGAAGCGTTCTCGTGCAAGTTGCGTTTATATCATCAAGATATCTTTCAACTAATACCGGGTTCCTTTGCAGAGTTTTCAGATATTAAACATGCTGCACATGATGGTGTAAATTTCAGAGTATTGAGCTTCGGTCGCGGTGATTTGGAAGACTTTAGTCTTAAAGGATACGACATTGCCGCTAAATCCATAGTTGAACTGAAGGACAGTTCCTATATTCTGATTTTCGTTGGTGCATCCAAGGGAAGGCAGGATGAAGTCGCAGAAATCTTACTCCAGACTGGCATTTCAAAGAACCAGTTGATTGTGAAATCATTTGTGAAAGACAAACAAAAATTGAGAGAATTGTTTTGTGCTGTCGATGTGGCCATCATGCCATCAAGAACTGAGGGGTTTGGTTTGACAGCATTGGAGGCCATGTCAGCTGGTCTTCCCATTCTGGTTAGTGGAAACTCCGGATTTGGAAAAACACTGCGTAAACTTCCAATGGGTGAGTCATTTGTGATCGACTCTGATGACCCTAAAGAATGGGCAAAAGCAATTGCAGCCATCCGTCAAAAATCAAGGACACAGCGGCTTGAGGAAATCCAAAGACTGCGAAGAAGTTATGATGAAAGATTCAGTTGGGAGGGACAGTGCCAAGCCCTTGTTGACAGGATGTGGAAGATGGTCTATGGTAAGAAATCAAATTGTATATGTCCATTGCTTCTGCAATAGCAAGTGCATAAATATATTTTTACTATATTATGTATCGTGGTCCATGTGCATCGCTGAAGAAATATTAATATTGTCGTTGACCTCTTTAACCTTAATGGTGGCATTCACATTCTGCACACCGTTCTCCGTACACTTCTTGTGTCACTGATCAATTTCATTTTTAAGACTTTTATTTATAATCTTATAACATGTTGGCTACACTTAAAGGAGTTAGCGATACATGAAAATTAAAATCCATAACATTGCGATACACCAAAGTCATTTGATTTCTATTCATATGCAGTAGCAATGGTGCTGTTCTCTTGTATATAAAAAGAACGTAGAAAAAAAAGACTAGCTAAACTTTCCGCTTATAATTTGTCACAAAAAATGAAAGGGGGGCTTCTGAGGTTGAAATCGTTTTTTTTTTTTTTTTGAGAGTGACATTTTTTTTTTGTAAATCATCGCTTTTTAACTTTACAGGAAATGGAAAAACCAAAGACGATGACGTTCCACAGAACGACTGTGAAAAGGACACTTCAACAGAACCGATAGCAGGTAATGTTATTGTTTGCTTTCTCAGTTGAACCAAAGACAAAATTTATTTTCGCAGCGGAGTGAGGTTCTTTTCTTCCGTTGAACCAGGGTACTTTCAATTATTGGGGTGCATCTCCAAGTAAACTGACGTAAACTAACTGTTTCCCTCTCCTGCTTACAGGCCAAACCATTTAAATTCACTGCAAATTTTAAACTTTACAGGTGTTGAGAAAAACCAAGAAGATGACGTTCCACAGAATGACTGTGAAAAGGATGCTGCAACAGTACCGATGGCAGGTAATGTCTTTGTTTGCTTCGTCAATCAAACCAAGGCCAAAATATATTTTTGCAGTAGAGTGAGGTTATTTAGTTCTTTGGAGACCACAGTAATTTTTAATTAAATTGTCTGCTGTTTTGAGCTTCATACCAGTGCACCACCTCGTATTAAACTGGCATGAAATAACCTCTATCTTATGTTAAGTTTTTTTTCATCTTCCGTTTACAGGCGAACCCTTTTTTATTGTACTTGAACAAATCATACGGGAAGCACGCATAGAGTCCAGCAAAACTAAGCTGTCGCAGGCTTTGAAGAGGGCTGCGTTGGAAAAAGGTTTTGCAATTTCTGACAATCAAGGAGGGGGAAACTGCATGTTTTTTGCACTTTCAGAACAGCTTGACCTTAACAAAGGAATAAAAACCTCCCATGATGAGTTACGCCGAACTATTGTTCAACACCTTCGGGAAAACCCTAAGCTGGTAAGTGCCTTTTTCTGTTTTATTATTTTTAGAGTGGACATTTTTGCAGTATATGCGCGTGGCCCGTCACTAAGCAATTTAATAGTTAACATCCCTTTCCCCTCTCTCTCTTACACGTGTAACGGACACCTCCCTAAAACCTACTAAACCTACTCCACCTCCCTAAAAGTGTTTGTCTCTGCCGTTCTTAACTGTTTTTTTTTTTTACTTTTTTAAGGAGAATAGTATAGGGTGCACAGGTTAGGCCGCTTTTTTGTAGTGTAATCTCATTAAAATGAAGTGGAATAAATAATTTTCTCTCTTTCTCGAGAATAAAATGCGGTTGAATCTCATTAAGATAACGCCACGAGCTATTTTTACGTAGTATTTAGTACATCCAATTATATAACTTGTTGGGATTATGCCCTTATATTGACATAGGGTAGTCCAAATTGTGTGTGTCATGTCTTTATTTGGTCATGAAGACACCTGTGACTTAAAATCACTGAACCACGATGCCCTCATTGTCCATTGCAGACATCTCAGGTTGTCTTCACACTATACAGTATAGCTTTTTCGCCGGTACGAAAATCATACTGGATGGGGTTTCAGTTCACACATGAGAACGGTGATTTCGGCGCGATTCCTTTAACGCGCCGATGCAGCTGTCTCTTTCGAAAAACGGTCGGCTCGCTGCAATTTTTTAGACACTAAGAAAATTTTTGATCTGTTATTTAGAGTGTTTGTACACAATGGGTATGGACAATGGGTATGAGCAAAGTTCAGCGCGCCGCCTTTCAAGGAACTCGTCAAATATCATCACAGTCCATCGTCAGCCTTATAATGGGAGCTCCAACGCTCCATTATCGTTGTGCTTGATTAACTCACCGTCAGCCAGCTCACTCAAGTTTTGTCTTCTGAACAGTCGCTCGGTGAGAAATAAAACTGACGATCTTGTCGATTATATCTTGCATGACTGTAAACCAGATGTTGTAGCTATAACAGAGTCTTGGCTTGGTCAACATGATGATGCTGTGCGTGTGGAATTATGCCCCGTGGGCTATAATTTGTTGGATCACACACGAGAAAAGCTTCGCGGGGGTGGGACTGCCTTGTTGTTTCGTGACTCCGTCTGCGTTCATAAAATCGACGCGGGAAACAGGACCTCTTATGAGTTTTCTGAGTGGCTGATCCATCTGACATCTGCCGAGAAAATGCGAGTGGTTGTTGTTTATCGCCCTCCCTATTCTGGTGAACACAAGGTACCCACAAGCGTATTTTTTGACGAGTTTTCTGCCTACCTGGAGTCGCTCTTATTATGTAAAGAACGGCTTCTTATTTGTGGAGATTTTAACATCCATGTCGATTCTGTCGATGATCCTGATTCAGTGAAATTTGGTGATTTACTTGAATCGGTTGGACTGCGGCAACATGTCAAAAACAGCACTCACAACAACGGTCACATTCTAGATCTAATTATTACGCGCTTCACGGACACAGCAATCGGGTTTTCGCTCGTTACACTCAACTGCAACTGCCCTTCTGGAAGCTACGGATAATTGGGCCTTTAATATTGATCGTGGCAATGTTAATGCTGTGGTTTTCCTCGATTTAAAAAAGGCTTTCGACACCGTTGACCACGATATCCTTCTAGCTAAAATGAACCTTTACGGAATACAAGGTACAGCTCTTGATTGGTTTAGGTCGTATTTAACTAATCGTACACAACGATGTCTTGTTAACGGTTCTCTTTCTAGAATCTGCTCTCTTAAATGTGGGGTACCGCAAGGAACAATCCTTGGCCCCCTTTTTATTTCTTATTTATATTAATGACTTGCCAAACTGTTTTACTTCGTGCCAGCCTAGAATGTATGCCGATGACACCCACATTACTTATGCTGGCGTTGATGTGAATTCAATACAGTTAACTCTGAGTCACGATTTAGATAACCTAAACAAATGGCTTATTTCCAATAAACTTACTTTGAACACTTCTAAAACTGAATTCATGCTAATTGGCTCCAGACAAAAATTGAGTACTTTGTCGAACCCACTTGAGCTCTCGATTAATAATGTTCCGATAGAACACGTTTCCTCTGTCAAATCGCTTGGAATATTTATTGATGAAAATCTACGGTGGCAAATACACATTGATAAATTATCTAAAAAGGTCGCTTCCGGAATTGGAGCAATAAAAAGAATTAGACCTTTTGTCCCTCCACCTACCCTTCACTATATATATAACTCACTAATTCAATCTCATTTCGATTATTGCAATCTTGTCTGGGGTAATTGTGGTAAAACATTATTTGACAGGCTACAGAAGCTTCAGAACCGTGCCGCTCGCGTTTTAACCTTCTCTAGCTATGATGCTGATGCTAACCGTTTGATTAGACAACTCGATTGGAAAGACTTGAGCACTCAATTTCAAATACAGAAATCCATAATGGTATACAAGTCTTTAAATGGCCTTGTTCCTGAATATTTATCATCTAAGTTTGTTAAACGAAATGAAACGCGTTACTCCCTGAGGGACTCTGTTAACAAACTATTTGTCCCATTTCCGCGAACTAATTTCATGAAAAACAGCTTTACTTATAGCGGAGCAGTTCTCTGGAACAGCCTACCCTGTCATGTGAGAGAAGCCGAATCTCTTAGTCAATTTAAAAGATTAGTTAATGTTCATTTTTAATGTTAT